TGTTCTCTTTGAAACTTTGGTACATCTACACAATGGAGTACTATGTAGCTGTTAGAAAAGATAAAGTCATGAAATTTACATACAAGTGGTACTACATGGAAAGTATCATGCTAAGCGAAATGAGTCAGAAAGAGAGGGATAGACATAAAAGGATTGCATTCATCTGGGGGACATAAAGTAACAAAATAGGAGATTAATACCCAAGAATAGCGGAGATCAGTACCAGGGGGATTACTCCATGGCTTGGAGGCCAGCCAGGCATTCTAGGGAAAGGGCAGCTCAGATAGAGAGGGGAGCACCAAATAAAGAGTGTTGGGAGGATCCTCCCAGGATGGGAGATGCCTGTTGAAAGTAGCCTATAGACCAAACATGATTGCCACTCAATGCCTCCTTTGCAGACCGCAGCACCCGAAAGGAGAGAGAGAACAAAAGGGAATGCCCTGCCACAGAGGCAGGATGGGATGGGGGGATGGGGGGTTGAGGGGGATGGGGGGGTGGGAGGGACACTGGGATCTGTGGTGGAAAATGGGCACTGGTGGAGGGATGGGTATTTGATCATTGTATAATCGAAACCCAAGCACAAAAATTTGTAAGTCTACAACTGTACCTCATCGTGTTTCACTAATAAAAAGAAAAAGAAAAAAGAAAAAAAAAATAAAGATGTTCTCTTTGTTTTGTCCTTGCTCTACACTTGCTCTCAAAGTCCTGTTGTGGTTAGGGTACCTGAGCCAGCACAGTCCTGATACCAGAACCAGCCCACTGCCTCTGGGTTCACTTGTTTGGAGCATTCAGCTTGCTCAGCTGATTCTGATCACCCAAATAATAATCTTGCTTGCTTTTTTTTCTTTAAGTAAACAACGTTAAATCCATGCCTCTAGCCACTGGCTCTCAGAGTCCTTTCTTTGGAATTGGTAATCATTATGCTTAAGCTCTCATAGATCTGGATATAAATTCTCTGGAGACCCACTTTCCACTGCCACCGCCATGTAAGCTCCTCTACTGGCCTTGTTCCAGAGACTCATAAATGAATCTCGAAAGAGATCAACTAGACACAAAAGTTTCCTCGATACCCAATCCTGACTGAAACTTTCAGGGCAATCTCGGGAGGGAGCCAGGTCAGTTCCTGCCCCTGAAGCTGCAATAACACCACAACAGCTGCCTCCACACCTCTGGCTGGATTGCCCAGCTAAATGTTCTGGATTTTTCTGTACCATCTCCAAACTCTACAATGATAAAACTCCATTGGGAGCATACCTGATTGGATGGGAATGTAATGTAGAAGCCAACTAATATTAACTAACAAAAGCATTAAGATAGAAGGTTTCATTTACAACAACAGCTTAGTAAACCCTCAGTCAAGGACTTAATGTTCCAGTGGTGAGATAAAACAATTTTCACAAATTTTCTCTTACTGGAATAATTTTTAATCATTTCATTAGCCATTTAGTGGTAACAAGCAATATAAAATAAATTATTGCAGAATTGCTATGGAGGCAGGCTCGAGGGGTGGTTGGGAAAATGGAGACAATAGTGAAGGGAAGCTGACAGTGGTGGTGGGATTGGTGTTGGAATATTAAATGGTGATAACAAATGATCATGAACTACTTTGTAACACAGTGTTTAAATAACGTGGAAAATTTTTAGAAAGGAAAAGGAAAAGTCGAGTGAGAAAAATATTCTAAGGAAAGTAAAAAGAAATATATAAAGAAGACCATCCATGTATTAGAGGCATGGAAGTAAACGAAAAAAAAGAAGAGGCTTGGGCCCAAGAAGGTATGTATAGGAGGCATAATCTTAGCCCAACCACTGAAAGTATTATATTTAACACTTGATCACTTGACATCCCATTACTCATTGATTTGCTCAAGCAGGTGCCAGTAACATCTCTATTCGCCCCTGTCGCGTGCTAGTGTAGCCCAATGGCGTCTGCTTACTCCAGGAACATGAAGAGCCTCAAGCTGATTGTTCAGGGTCTTGACGAAGAAGTCTGACAATCTTGTAGGTGGGCAGCCATGCGATCTTTTGACGTCCTGTGGAATCTAGTCGGTAACGGCTCTAGTTTAGTGGTCATCTCCAAATTGCATTACGTGTCCAGCCCATCTGATTTTTGTCGCCTTGACAAACGAGACAGTGACCCTGATTCTTGATCATCAATGGAGGTTGGAGCTCCAGATTCCTTGTCTCACTTGAGTGAAGCGTGATACTCCAAGCATAGCTCTTTTGATTCCTCCTTGGGAGACCCGAATAGCATTCTCATCCTGTTTTCCTAGGGCCAAGGTCTCTGAGGCATATGTTAATGCAGGAAGAACAGTGGAATCAAAGAGATGTGCCTGGAGCTAGAGGTTTTTCGTCCTCTTAGCTATTTCTTTGGCGCTCTTGAAGGCGTTCCAAGCCGCTCTCTTCCTTCTGCGCAACTCAGGTGCCAGGTCACTCGTCATGTTGACTTCTCGACTTAGGTACACATAACTAACTGTTGCATTCTGAGATGTTCGTTCAGTTGAGAGCAAATGGAATGTCAGGACTGAGACCATTTCTCATAAACATTGCCTTCGTGAGATTCAGCTGTAGTCTGACCTTCCCACACTCACAGTTGAAGTCGGCCAGCATTTTTGCCGCTTGGCTAATGTTTGGTGTTATTAGAACAATGTCATCAGTGAAGCGGAGGTGGTGTAGTTGCCTACCGTCTATCTTCACTCCCATTCCTTTCCAGTCATCACATGATGTTCTTGAGGGTGGCACTGAAGAGTTTGGCGAAATGGTATCACTCTGCCGAACTCTTCTCTTGACGTGGATGATCACTTACTTGGAGAATGGTGAGATCCTGGTAGTGGAATCTGTAATACATAATATATAACAATGAAAGCAAAAATCACACCACAAAGATAAAACTTAAAAACATTACAAGTTAATCAAAGCTTTGCAAATGTATCCAAATAGTCACAGGAAGGCAGGAAGAAGGAAACAGTGGAGTGAGAAACAGAACAAAGGAGAAAACCATAGCAAATATAAAACCTTCACAGACAAATAAGCAATAATATTAAATGTAACTGACTTACATATACCAATTAAGACCTGGAGAGATAGTACAGTGGTTAAGGCACGTGTCTTGTACATAACTGACCCAAATTTAATCTGTGGCACTGGATATGCTTCCCTGAACCCTGCCAGAAGTAATCCCAAGAGCAAGCCCTGAACCTCATCAAGGGATGAGGGGACCAAAACCAATAAAAAAATCAATTGAAAGACAAGGATAAAAATTAGGGAGGTTGAAAGTGAAATGATAGAATAAAATATATCACACAGTCAAAATAAAGAAGTTACATATCAAATAAACTTTAGGGGTAAAGAAAATTTATAGAGCTAGACCCATTATATAATAATAGAAACATCAATAAATGAAAAAAATTTAAGTATGCACAAAATAATAGTTAAAAATCTACATGAAGAAAAAACCAATATAATTGAAAGGATAATTAGACAATTGTACAATCATAGTTGGCAGCTTCTGAACAACTCTCAATAATTGATCGAACTAAGCAAAAAGTCAGCAAGGTCATATGAACTCAACAAAATCATCAAAAATTATCAAATAAATACATACTGGACATTCCACCAACTAACTAGAATATTCCATTTACTATCAAAATGCCATATGCCAATGTAGATCATATTGTAGGCCATAGAAAGTAAAAATATAACAGTGCAAAATAATTTGAAAAAATACTGTTTTCTCTATAACAAAGGAATCAAACTAGAAATCAGTAACAGAAAGATAATAGGAAAACTCCCCAAACACTTTAGAAGCCAACAATATGCATTTAAACAATGAATCACCAGAAATGCAAAGAGACACAAGAAATAGATTGAAAGGGATGAAAATGAAACCTATCAAAAGATGTGCCACAGCTATAGCAATGATGACAGAGAAATTTATAGCACTATATATTTTATTAGGAAAAAATTTTAAATGCTTATCCATAATCCAAGCTCCCTCTCAAAAGCCTAGAAAAAAGAAAAAGTAACTCCCAAACAAAAGGGAAGAAATAACCAAGAACAAAGCAGAAATCAATGCAATTGAAAACATAAAAATAATAGAGAAAATCAATGAACTAAAGTGAGGGGGGCTGTCATTGAAAAGATCAATAACATGACAGAAAGAAAGCAGGGACATAAATAACTGTAACCAGAAATGAACAAGGATTCTTGTTACAGACTGCAGACACCAAAGTTAGTAAAGGTATACTACAAGAAACGTCAGAAATAGGACCAATTTGATGAAATGGATCAATTTCTATCAAAAACACAAATTACCACAACTCACCTACTATGAAAGAGACCATTTGAATAGCTTTTTTTGTTCCAGGTAGACAACTCCCATATAAAATATAGTTGTCAATTTTCCCCTGCTCTCTGTTTCTTATTATTTCTCTGTCTTTTCTTATCTGTGGGAACTTGACATTACCAAACACCCATTGTTTTGGTAAATGTTCCTTCATGATGTTCCTTCTTACATGCCTGACTTGTGAGTTTTTTTAAGTGTGTGTGTGTGTGTGTGTGTGTGTGTCTTTGTGTGTGTGGACATAGCTCTTACATGATGGAACCATCTGAAAGTGTTTAGCTTTTATAATTAGGAAAATATTCCTAATGAAAGGGAAAGGCTGGGGGAGGAAATTTATAGCTAATGACAGGTCTTAGGCATGTTGGTTGTAGAAATGTTTCCTACGAGTGCCAGGGACATAGTCCAGGAGGTAAGTGCCTGCCTCACGGGTCTCTGATACCGGTTCAAGTCCTGCACCACGTGATCCCCAAGCATTGCTGCACACAGCCTGGGTGTAGCCCTCCGGACACAGCCACAGTGACCCACATGTCCCTGGCTCCTTGGGATCTGAGAAGTACCTAATCTTCAGGCATTCACACTGAACTACCAGGCTGGCTGTCAGAATTGCCAGAAGGTGCCCTCAAGTCTATATACTGCTCAGGAGACCCCCAAACCCCAAATGAAATATATCTGACATCCAACATAAATATGCTCAATGTATTCACTGCGCAGAGCCCATGCTAATCTTCTCTGTATCGTTACAATTTTTAGTATATGTGCTGCCAAAGCGAGTAATAGCACAGCAGTAGGGCATTTGCCTTGTGCGCGGCCAGCCCGGCCAAGCCGGGTTCCATTCCTCCGCTCCTTTCGGAGAGCCCAGCAAGCTACCGAGAGTATCTTGCCTGCACGGCAAAGCCTGGCAAGATACCCGTGACATATTCGATATGCCAAACACAGTAACAACAAGTCTCACAATGGAGACGTTACTGGGCCCACTCGAGCAAATCAATGAACAACGGGAGGACAGTGCTACCGTGCAGTGACGGGTCCTACAAGCTCTTTCTCTTCCTGAGATTTCAGCTCTGTGTGTGGGAAAGACCACAGAAGGCCCAAAAAGATTTGCACAAATCCAGAGTCTAAGATGAACAGGTCAGGGATCTCTCAGGCAGCATGGATAGGGCACTCATTGGCATGGTCTCTGTCCCTCTCATTCTGCTCCCAATTTCAGATGTAATAGGAGGATGAAGAGACCCTCATAACCAACTCTCCAACAGAATAGAGAAGAGCTAGAATGCATTTGAACTATGGAAAAGTTGTGTCCTGGGATTCATTCCCACCAGTAGGAATGGAGTCAATGCCAGGTGAAATTGTAACTAAAGGCCTATCAGCATAGGATGGACAAAGGGGGCTGAGTGTGTGCTTTTGCCCTGAGAAGAAGCAGTAGCCTATTAAGAGGCCTGTAGATGGAAGTGAGCATGTGTAGGTGGGGACCATTCATGGGGAGGTAGACCAGTTGGCTGTACTTGGAGAGATAGACCAGTTGGCTATAGTTGTCAGGTAGGTTTCCATTTATACTGCTTCATGTTTCTTCTGTCCCATAGCCACACATTTGTGCTATCCTGATGCCAGGAAGATGTCCAGGAAATGCTGTCCCCACCCTTTGAGTAATGTCACTGCATGTCTTTGATCCTTAGACCACCCCAGACAGTACCCTGGCTGAGCCTGTGAAGAGCAGAGCTTGGAAAATTTCTCCCCCATAAGGAGAGAGACTGCAGTGGCCACCCAACTCCCTCCCTCCAGCACAGCTCCCCAGCACTCTGCACTCTGTGCCCCGTTCCTATTCCCAGACTGATAGGGGAATTTCAGACCCATCCGGTTAGAGGAACCCCCTTATACATTTACAGCCGGTGAGATGGAAGTTCAGGGAGGGAAGGATGTCTGCTCTAAACACCCCCAGCCAGTGACAGAGGCTGCAGAGGTCCAGTCTCCCAATCAGAATATTTGGGTCTCTCCACCAGGATTCATGACCCCCTGAGGACCTGATTTCCCTCAGAGGAAAGCACTACCTCCAGTCAATGCCAGACTGGACCATAACCAGCTGCAAAGTCCCTCTCAGATGCCCCGAGAGTCAACCTCTCCAAGGGTAGTTCTCCAAGGATAGTTCTTCATCGATATCTTCATCCATGTCCTCATCTTATTTTCTAAGATCATTCTGTCAGTTCATTTCTTCTGTTGTTGGTGGTGTTACTCGACTTTTTAAGTCTTAGAGCACCATCTTATGCAATAAAACATTTCACTTCTCAAGTTAAAGCAGCTTGCACACATGAATGTACTAAGCACAGTACATCGAGGGGCACATTGTAAATATTTGTTGGTGTTCTGCTGCTAACACAAGCTCACTGTAGCCTGTGATATGAAGGAGGCATAAAGTGAAGTTTAATAATGTGGGCACAGGTGTTAGACGGCCTGGTCTTGATAAGTTGTTGACCTTGGTCAAGTTGTTTAAGTTCCACATTTGCATTTTCTTAAATGCATTATGGGATGATAATTCATCTCCCAGGACTGACAAGAGGATAGAACGGAAATATATGTGCATATTCACATACATAATTTAGGTATAAATCAGCAGGCTTGTCGTTGGCATGGGACATAATTATGTGTACACATTACCAGAGCATAAGCCTTCCGTTGATGGTAGCTATTACTACTTCTAATGTCATGGGCTGGAAATCACTGAAGATCCATCAACTCCATGCCATCCTATGGCCTCAAAAGATCCCTAACACAGTCGTTTGGGTGCCTGGCAGAAGGAGTGTGGGGTGTCTTCATAATTCTCCCATCTCCATAAAACAGCAGCAGGTGTTTTGCACCAAACTGGTGTGTCATTGGAACATGAAACCTGTGTGAAAATATATCCATTTCCTGCATCACGCAGACATGGCAGAAATAATAGTTTAGAAGCTCACTGCAGTGCAATATGCACTATGTGATCCATGCTGTACGCACACACTGGACACGCCTTTGCAGCACCACCTCTAAAACCAGGGGGAACCAAATAGTAAACTGCCCTGGGGCCACAGTATCTCCTGCATAAATACTTGCTGCCACTAGGCGGTGCCTGGAGTCTTTCCAGCAGCAGCATTTGGGCTCGTTAACACCAGGGAATCAGCTCTAAAGTCTTTTAGAGAATCCTCTCGGCCTACTGCAGAGTGTGCAAATCATTTCCTTGGCTGATTCCACTGTATTATGATGTGCTGGGGAACCTGAGCATTCTCTCGCCCTGTGGAGATTAATTACCTTGAAATATTCATTGGATTAAATGTATTTAAACATGCACTGGTTAAAACTCTGTGTTGCAAAATGTCTTACTCGAAATATATATATATATATATATATATTATGGGCATTAAGTAATTAAGTTTGACATGAGAGAAGGAAGGAGGAGGAAAAGAGCGTGGAGGGGAGAAAGAGAGGAAAGAGGAGAGAGAGGAGAGAAGAGAGGGAGAAGAGAGAATGGGAGAAGTAGAAAGAGAGGGAGAGAAAGAGAGAGAGGAATTTACTTATTTCTGTTTGTGGGGGGATACAAACCCAGTGATGCTCAGGGATCACTCCTGGCAGTGCTCAGTGGACCATATGGGGTACAGGGAATTAAGGCAAGCAAGTGCCCTATTCCCCATACTATCACTCCAGCCCCTAATTTTCTGGGTTCTATTACTGAGTTGAGACTAATGTGGCCATATCAACCAAGTCGGTGATGTGAGAGGACTTTCCAGCTAAATTCAGCTTTACCGACTGCTCAAATTCTGTGATTTTGGGGGAAAAAACCCTCCTTTGCTCTCTGTTAAATGGTCATTTTGCATACCATTCAGGGAGAGTGGCAGGGGTTTTGCCTAAAACGTAGGTGACACAGAAAACCAGCTCAGCTGGAGGTGGTTCTAGAACCAGCTCCAATCCTGGCTTCCTTCCTGGGCCAAGGTGTGTGCACATACCCTCAGCGGGAACAAGCAGCAGAGATGAGCCCGAGAGTGTGGATACAGGAGCCTCAGTTCCTGCCTGTGACTGTGCCCCATCAAGTACCAGAAAAATTAGAAGAATTACCTGGAAGCAGAATATCTCAGCCTCTTCCTCTCTTCAAGGCTTTATTTATTTTGGGAGAGGGGTAGAGTGAGGCTACACTTAATAAAGTCCCAAGAGTGGGGCCTGCACGTGGTTAGCATGACCCTGGGCTGGTGAGTGTTATGATTTCAGGCCAAGTCAGGCCCCTCCTGCAAATTCAGCCTCCCCCGGTCACCCGCACTTGGAGCCCAGGTTAGTGGCTGCTATAGGTAGTGAGTAAGCCATGCCGAGATGCTAGTGGGGGACTGGCTGCCCTAGTAGGTGGTCCTATACGTTCCTTTGTTCCTGGATCTATAAAACACTGTCAGCCTTGGTTGCATGCACGTGGACCTTTGGGAACACAGAAACAGAATCGCAGTGAAAAAAAACATGCACATCAAGTGGCGGGACTCCAAACATCCTGAGACAACGGAGGGGCAAATGCTGGAGGCTGGGACCTCTCCAGGACAGTAGCCCAAAGATGGTTTCCCTCTCTTGAAAACACACAACTGTCTTTAGAAACAGGTTTTTGTTTTTTTTTGGTTTGTTTGTGATTTTGATTTGAATGGGCTTTTTAGGGAAAAGATTGTCTTGAATGTGCATGATAACACTCTCCAGCCCCAGAGGGTGGTGACCAAGCCATGAAAATTAGCCCAGTGCTATGACCGTTGTAAGTGACATCAATTACTAGTAATTAAACTTCAGGCCTAATTTGACTGTCACCAGTTTTTCCACAAGCGTGGGCTTGCAAATGCATTCACTCACCACCACAACAGTCTTCTGAGTGTCCTCTGTGAGGTGACACTTCCTCCTCCTTCTTTGTTCCTGGTGCTTTGGCCACTTTCAAAGGCTGCTGGTCAGTTATATTGTAGGATATATGCCCGGGGGTGGGGGGTGGGGGGTGGATAGATGGATATTGTCTCTCTACTACATTCAAGTTATAATATAGGTAACACTACTTGCCACATAAAACTTAACATGAAACAGTCCATAGATTCTTTTATTTTTTTTGGGGGGAGGATCATACCCAGCGATGCACAGAGGTTACTCCTGGCTCTGCACTCAGGAATTACTCCTGGCGATGCTTGGGGGACCATACGGGATGCTGGGAATAAAACCCAGGTCAGTTGTGTGCAAGGCAAACACCCTACATGCTGTGCAATTGCTCCAGCCCCACATTCTTAAGCATAGACTCTTTTTTTATAGGCTCTTAAATCTAAGGACCCTCCAGTAGAATTCTGGAAGAAAAATTTAGGGAAAAAAATTAGTGATCTTGAATTTGAGTTCTTCATTAGGACACCAGAGGCATGGATAATAAAACATTGATTCAGTTGAACTTCCCCAAAATAGACAGCATATTCGAAAAAACATGGTAAAGAAAATAAAACAGCAACCACAGGTTGATTAGAACATGTTTACAAAGCATGTACCTAACTTTAATCTAGATTCTTACCTAGACTATGTGAAAGAATAGCTACAATTCCATTAAAATGAACAATAAAATTGAAAAAATGGGGGCTGGAGAGTCAGTATAGTGGGTGGGACACTTAGCTTGCCTGTGGCTGACCTGGGTTGATCCCAAGTACCACATATGTTCCCTCAAGTCCCCCAGGATTAAGCCCTGAGCCCTGCTGGGTATGGTCCAAACCCACACCCCCCAAAAAAAACTTGTAAAAATTGAAAAATGGACAAAATG